GCATTATTAACATCCAATTGGCGAATAGGCCAGTGTTTATTCACAGCCAACGAAAGCACTGTACGAATTGTTGTAGGTTTGATCACCGGGCTAAAGGTATTAAAGTAATCGGACCCAGGTCGTTGGTGAAATCCTTTAGCCACAAGACGTGCTTTGTATCGGTCAATACCACCTTCCTTATTCCGTTTGACACGGAACACCCACTTACAGCCAATGACATGTTGAACATCAGTGCGAGGAACAAGTTCCCAAGTACCTTGTCTAACCAAAGCATTAAACTCATCAGACATGGCCTGACGCCATTGAGGATTTTTCAAGGCTTGACTTACACAAGTGGGTTCAATCGAACTGTCGAGAGGGTGCTTTGTGGCAAGGAAGAGAGTGCGAGGTTTAAAGATATTATTTTGAGAACGGGTGGTCATATTGTGAGTTCGTGTAGGTCCGGTGGGGTGAGGAGCAGACACTGTAGGTGAAGAAGTGGAACTGGAAGAGGTAGCAGAGGGACTGGAGGAAACTTGGTGGATCGGGGATGAGGGAAGTAAGGGCAAATGGGCCTGAGGAGAGCCATGAGTGGGGGATAGATGTTCTAGGTGTGGTTCGTTGGAGGTGGGATGGGCTGGGGTTGAAGGATTCAAAGATATGTGGCTTGGGTCCTTGACTGTGGCTGGGTAGGAGGACTCACGGGTATGAGATGGAGATGGAGGATTTGGGGGACATTGGACCATAGGAGGTAAGAAGGAAGAGAGATGATTAGTGGGAGAGTTTACCTGAGGATCATGTGGATGGGCCACACCATGAGAGCACGCTTGAGGGCTAGCAATGTCCAGTGGAGAAACAGTAGCTAATTCGGATGGGCTAGCAGATGATTGAATGCCACCACCTGCGACTAAGTTGTTGGATTTTTGGTAGAAAAAATCATGCTCATCAAAGACAACATGTCTGGAGTAAAAGACCTTTCTAGAAATGGGATCAAAGCATTTATAACTCATATGATCAATAGAGTAACCTAAAAAGATACACTTACGAGACCTTGGTTGTAATTTATGAGAGTTGTATGGGCGCAACCATGGATAACATGAGCACCCAAAAACACGAAGTTTGAGGTAATTGGGTTTAATGTGAAATAATTTTTCAAAAGGTGAACATAAGCTAGTAGAACTTGGAATCCTATTATGTAAATAAACAGCAGTGAGAAAAGCATGACTCCAAAATTTTAAAGGAAGAGAGGCAGTTTGCAAAAGGGCTAAACCGGTTTCAACAATAAGACGGTTTCGACGCTCACTTATACCATTTAATTCTGGTGTGTAGGGGGGTGTGATAAAGTGAGAGATTCCTTGAGTTTGAAAGTAGTCTTTTAATGCAAGAAACTCACCGCCACCATCAGAGTAAAAAGATTTAATTTTTGTTCCAAGTTGATTTTCGACAAGAACATGAAATTTTTGAAAGATTGGTGCAACATCAGATTTCCTCTTAATAGGAAAAAGCCAAACATAACGACTAAATAGATCAACAAAAATTACGTAATAAAGGAAACCATCCATAGAAGGTAAGGAGGCAGGGCCCCACACATCCGAATATATTATTTCTAAAGGTTTATTGCTAGAAATAGATGATTCGCCAAATGGTAATTTATGACTCTTTGCACACAAGCAAGACTCACATAAAGAAAATCGAGATCGATCTAAAATAGGTAATTTAACATGGTGAAAAATTTTATTGAGAGTTTTAGACGAAGGATGACCCAATCTTGCATGCCAATCCATAATAGATGCTCTTTCTCCAACCATTGCCATTGGACCCGTCTTAGGTGGACCTTGGGCGGGTAGGCGGTACACGCCATGATGATTGTGCCCTCGAAGAAGCGTCACTCCCGTGATGCGATCCTTCACAACAAAAAAATCAGGATGAAATTCTACCAATGCATTGTTATTTTGGCATAGTTTAGAAACGGAAAGTAAATTTTTAGAAGCACTTGGAACACATAGTATATTTTTCAAGAGTAAAGGTTTTGTTTTGGTTGGGATTGTGGATTGTCCCACATGTGAGATAGTCAAACCTGATCCATCCCCAATAAGCAGTTCATCTGGTCCACCATATTCCGAATGTAATGCAAGGTTAGACAAGTCTGGGGTAACATGATCGGATGCACCAGAATCGATCCACCATTCATTTCTTGCCTTGCGAGATGTGGATGCAAAATTTGCCACATGTGCATGATTCCGGAGATCTGGGCAATTCCTAGCAAAATGGCCAAAACCATTACACAATTGACAGGCAAAGTTATTACGATTATTGTACCTGTTGACTGAATTTCGTCGACCACCTCGACCACGACCACCCCTGTTTCCACGGTTCACTGGACCATTAAATTGCCAATTTGAGCTGCCAGATCTAGTGGGGTGATTGGATGAAGGTCCATAAGAATTGAAGGAAGTCGGCTGCACATTGTTCATAGCATTGTGATAGTCACCATTAAACTTAGGAGTAGCAGTTGCAAACTGTGCCGTCAATGGGGCTTGCAATTCTTGGCGAGAGTCTTCTCGCTGT